AACTGTGTGACATTAGGGTCAATGATGCAGAGCTATCACAACTGCAATATTTCGGGGCACAGATATCGGCTACCTTTCCGTTTATTTTAATTCACAGTTTACCATGTATGGTGCAACCGCTCATACACACAACAAGAAATACCAAAAAAATTGAAAACATTTTATGATTCTTGAATATATTCTGTTAACGAAAATTAATAAACGCTAAAAATATACTAGTTGCATTGGAATGTATTACAGCATTAGGTTTTTACCTTCTTCTCTCTTCTTACAATAGTATTTGATACAATAGGCCAAATAAATGTGGACGCCACTTCTGATTCGGAAATTCTGAATACTTGTATAGAGGCTATTTGCTATGTTTCGTCATATCCGGCACAAGAAAGATCGCCAAGAGATCGTGACGGGCATGCAAGCCCCGCATGCAAACAAAGCTGTTCAAAAAAATGCGCATGGTCAAACTAATTTCAAAATTACAAGAGAACATACTCGATTTATATCAACAGATATGACGAACTTTCTTGGACGCATTTAGAATCATATGCAGGGTCCATAAATTTAAACTTACATACATATTTTCATGAAAAATAAACATATAACTCTTTCACTTCTTTAGCTAATATTCTCCTAGCTGTGAACCAGTTTTTAATTCCACTGAAAATATAAATCTATTTTATTTTTCACCTCAAGGCTAAAATTTTATGACACAAATTTTGTACTATAAATCCCTTTGTGAAATATGCTTTAATATGTGGCGTTATAGCAGTAGAGCCAGGAGATTAGGTCAGCCCATAGAAGTGAAAACAAAATAATTTAATGTGACATAAACATATCGATAGATTTCGGTTCTGTTTGTACAGGAATTATTTATAGCGTCAGGTTTCTGTAAGAAGTAGGCTAATGATTAATTAAAAAGTACTTCTACATTATTCCAGTCACGACATTAAAAGACAACTCCATTTACGAAAGCCTTACCACATAGAGAACTGCTCAACGAGTGGACTGGCTTTGGTGATTGTATTTGCTAAACATTTAATTACTTTTAATAATGAGCCATGTCAGGTAACTCAAGGTATATGTGCTATCTGTTATGAAGTGATGTGTACTCTCGTTTCTGGAAGCTGAATATAAAGCTAACACGATCAAAATGATGTGTACATCTTGTACTGGCACAAGCCTCTAAGAACAGACAAGACACCGTCATTTGTTCCGAGTGAGGGAATTCTGTGACACCGATCAGAAGCAACTACTTTCACCCCCCTCCCCCAAAAGATTGAAATCTTCTTGGCTTTTCCACAACTCATTAATAGACGCCGGTAACATTTATTGATTTCACTGAAGTATTGTTAGGTTAGAAACCATGAATACATTTCCAGCGTTCCTGTATATAAATTCTAATAATGGAAGAAAGAGCAGCTTCCGAAACGTCTTCTGCATTCTGTTCGGGTTGTGTAGGCTAATGTGAATTGTATTGCCACGAAAGATTTGTTATAATTACAATCAACTTCCACTATCGCCTACCGCCAGATAATGACGATTAAAAGTAAAAGGTAAAGTTATGCTTGGGCTTAGTTAATTAGGCACCACGCCATCGAGACGGAAAAGGTAGTTGGAGGTGGAGCTCCATATATTAACAAAGACAAACGAATAATTTTTTCCTTGGTAACTAAAACAAGGTGTGGTGAATTAGCCTTGTGCGCACAACGCGTTTATTTGCAAGGTACACGTTGTCATTTGAACGAGCTTCAGGAATGAATACAGACTGAACCTTATATAAAATACAGAGCTTCTTCCAGTAGCCGATTTGGCAACTGTAACCTTGGGAAGTGTCGTCATTTCGGCTAAGGGCGACCTAGAAAAATTCAACATAACAAATATGCAGTATTCCAACACGGTGACTATAAAAATTATCTAAATGCAGTATTAAACATAACGATTCTATGGTATTGTATGAATTATTTACAGACCCTTGTGCTGGCTGCACGCGAGAAACATGTACACATTTCTGCTGATTCACGACCCTGAGGAAAGTAAAATTAAATTATGAGTACATATGAACCGTTCCTACATCTCCGTCTTCTCAAATTCATAAATAATATCAAAAACAATTTAAATAGTGTAATTTTGTCAACACTTCTCAGTATCTTAATTACGATATGGATTAAATTTTTAAGATAATTTTTGGTCCAAACGAATTGTTTCCATATCTCATTCATCATCAGGCAAGCTAACAAATTTCAAGTTTAGTCATCTTATAAAACTCAAGAATCAATTTTTCGAAGTCGCCCTAAATAATGGTTTTCATGCCTTATATACTTTCTACAAAGCAGCATTCAGCCTTGCACTTGGTTCTGTATGCTTTGCAGCGCCCATACATATGAGAGCCAGTTATAGTATATCAACTGTGTAGCAGTGGCCCACAGCGGAAGTAATTCCGGAAACATACATATAATAATGCTCCCAGAAACATCGAAACACACTTTCACTGAATTTCTGGCAACCAACACGAACTAACAATGTACCAGGCGGAGAATTTTAAGCGAATGTTCGGGTAGTAGGCTTGGTGCGGAACCCTTCTTCCAGTCAGTGAAGACAGGACTACAGCAATGGGTAAACATCAACTTTAATTTCTTGTATTGCGGATTTTGCGAGCGCTTCCTACACAACAGCAGAGGGAGCTCACGACTATATAGATAACAACAGAATCGGAACTTAGCTCTGGAGAGGTCTAATTCAAGCTGGCAGTGTCCACCCGTCTGCCTCTAATTAAACTAAGCACACAGCTCCACGTTCCGACCTCCTTTACAGATGTACCCACTGGGTAGCAAACGGAATGTTCAGCCGTCTCTTACCCTCATCTCGTGATGAGGTGCGGAGCTTTGCCCCAATTTCCGCCTTGATGGTACTATGCATAAGAACTGGGGCACGCGGTAGCGTAGTTGGTTGAGGCACTTTGCTACAAGTCGGAAGGTCGCAGGTTCGAATCCCGATGAGGTGGATTTTTTTTCAATTTACCTAATCCTTCCAGCGGCGGTATGGCCCTGGGGTTGACTCAGCCTCTAACAGAAATGAGTACCTGTAATATTCTTGGGGGTAAAGGGCGGCCGACCCGTAAGGCTGACAATCTTGCCGCCATCTGTGAACCGACTGTCTAGATAATGTGGGAGCCTCAACATCCCACAACCCTATGGGCCTCCACGGCCTGTTACAGGGAAACCTTTACTTTTACTAGGAGATCTTGTAATGGCCGAATGCAGCACTTCGGTTAGGTTGCACTGCCTGAATGCGTGACGGTAAATGTACTCATAGAAACATTGGAACTGAACCACCCGGGTTAGCAGGTTATATTAATGCAGGACACCAGTAATAAGAGGGCAAAGCATGTGGTTGAGAAACAGAACACAATCTTGTCTACGGATTCATAATTTAAGAATTACTTTTGACACACAGCGAGCCAGTGGGCCTACTTCGTAATAGTTCAAGAGGAGGAGGAGGGGGAGATGGGGGGAAAGAAATACACTAAAGAGTGACATAATTAAAGATGGTGGGACGTGAACTGTACGGTACATGTGAAGAGCCGTACATTTTAAATAAAATCAGAATCACATCGAAATACCAAAGGGAAATAAATCCTCACTAACTATGGCTAAGTCTTCAAGTTAACAAATGAACGAGATGGTCCTATTAATAGACGAATAGAATTAATCAGACATGAATTAGTTACCGTAATAACTGGAAATAATAAGTTTTATTCATCACGTAGAGTGACAATTACCCACGTATATAAATACACTACGAATTCCCTTTTGTGTTAAAGGGACCTCCCAGAGTTTCGGTATTTTCTGATCCATCAAATTCATTACAGCATTACAGGTGCGGAGATCCCATTCAAGGCAAAAGGAGGAACTGATTTAACGTGGAATTTGACCGTTTCTCTTCCCCATAACCGTTAATTTCCCAGGACAACTTTCAAATAGAGTAGTCAGTTTCTTGTCTCCCTCAAACCGCATTTTTCATGGGAAAAAATGACCCAGTAAACTTGTAAAGGATATCGCCAAACGCGGGAGGCCGTCTCTCAGGCAACAGATTTACTGCCACCAACACAAGGAGGGGCCGGCCGGCCCGGGCCGGGCCGACGTGAGCCTGTAATTCCATGAACGGCGGAGCGCTCTTCACACAAGCTAAAAGGTTCTGGTATGTGCGAGAAGGGTGACTCTCAGGTGAATGGAAAGGCGACAGCATGAGGATGACGAGGGGGGGGGGCAAACGAAGAAAAACCATTATAGAACAGAGAAATGTGGTAAAAGACGATGCTTCAGCAAGCTTGGACTTCAGAGGAGGCAAAGAATGGTATTTCTTTTCTCCTGCCGCATGACATGTTCAGCTCTCTCAAGTGTGTGCTGCTACCTACTAGCCAAGCAATTCGTTACGGTACCTATAATACGAAGGATGATATAAGCGAAGATGTCGTCCAGGGAGGTCCTCCTGGAGCTGTCTCGTTAGTCAGAAACCGCTTAATCCTTCAAAGAACAGCTGTTCTCTCTCCCTCTTTTGTGCCTTTTGTTCGCGGATGACTTCATTTCCTTTGTGCTAAAGTAAAAGTCAAGGCTACTTAAGCGCTACCGCACGTAATATGATCTTCCTTTATTTTTGGAAAGGGCAGGAAACAGCACTTCAAATAAACCTAAAATTGACAAATGAATCGTAAATGGTCCCCTCTTAAAATACAATAAAAACGCACCCTTGTTTTTTGGGGGGTGAATCGGATTACTGCCAGCAAAACGTAGCACTCCAGAGCATTGAAACATCGAAGGAGAAACCACAAAAGACAACACACATACTGTACCACATACAAAGCGACTATCTGGATGCATGTTTGAACTGAAGTAAATGTTCCTGCTTAGGTACGACGGCAGGAGTCATAAGGAAACAATACGATGCATATAGGCTCCACTACTGGTTTGAAAAGCTGAAATCTGTGAACTGCTTTTCCATTCGTGTGCACCGAATTTCTCCCTTGCGAGCTGTATGACAATCGCCCTGTGTGAAGGCAAGAGGTGACGCAGGGGTGACGCTAAAACACAAAGAGTAGTCTCTGGAGGAATGTCGAAATGATCTGCCAGTTGTTATTTTAAAAATAGGCGGTAACAATTTGCATCCGCAAAGTGCATTATGTACATACTACTGTGCTGAACCCACAGCTCCAGGCGAATACCGACTTCTTCGCTATGTGGACGTGGAGTCCATTTATGAAATGAGTGTTGTGTACGTGGGCCTGGATTGTTAATATAGTTAAACATTAATGATTAGAGACGACAAACAGTCAACATTTAAAATACTCTTTCTTATATATACATTACAAATGCGTTGGGAAGAGAGACAGTGAATTTACTTCCTTCCATTTGACGATTTATCTCTCTGTTTAAAGCTCTCTCGATAACGCACTCAGGTCAACAACATCGGTACTCGCAGTAACACGGCGCCAGCTCAAACAACAGGACGTGTGTAGTGCAGAGCCTTCCTTCTGCCGACTCTATCCGGGATGCCGTTTGTGTACGTGGCATCTTCGGTGATGCGGGCAGGAGGGTCACTCACTCTTTTCGGAACAAACACAATCTGCCCCTCCCTCCCACCATGGATGCAAATGTCTCACACACTATTCGCTTTCAAGTCAAGAAAGTTTATTGTTGTTCCGGTGGTGATTCTTGTGTCGGAGCCTGGGGGGCACGTTCTTGCGAGATTGTTTGTTTCGCTTATTCTTCAGCAGCTGCTGCTGTGCGTGGACCGGCACCTCGGCGGAATGGTTCCCTCCGGCAAGTTTCTGATTGTGATGGTTGATGCTGAATTCGGTGTCGAACTTGAGGAAGTTGAGGCACTTCTCCTTGCGGCTTCCGTTCTGTCGCGCCAGGTTGCTCCTCAGGGGCTTCCCGTGGCGGTTGAAGCCCACGAAGTGAGACTCGTTCGCCACCGACCGGTATCTGTTGTACCCGTTTTTCATGTCCTCGTAGAACTGACACATCGCGCCTCTGAACTTCTTCTGCAAGCACACAAGAAGACACAGTCTGCTTAATTAACATTTGAGAAAGTTCAAGTGGACGACTTGGCCCACCGCTCAGGCGCCCCGCGTTCCGAAATATGACAATCCTCACCAACTGCTGGGGCTACATGACCCCAAAACATGGCGGCTGGAAAGACCAAGGCACTGTGAGACTGGAGTGTTAATATATCCCTTCGAATAGCAAATGGGAATAATTTGGTGCAGAATACACCGATTTTCCATGTGTATTTAATTTGAAAACTGCGGATAACTAAAATCCAGGACTGGAAGAATCTGTGATTGACTAGGGATTACAGTAGGTCTATTTATGTGTTTGCTCAGTGACGCTGTTTCATTTTCAATTTATGTCATTCCAGGCGAAGGAGACCCAAAGCCAACCGTCAGATGCACGCTGTCCACACTGAAACGTACGGAGATCGAGTGAACGTGTTAAGGAACTCGGGGAAACGGTAGGTATGAAACGGCACACGCATCACACCTACTCTAGCCATGTTCCATGGTGCGGGAGAGGACACAACCTTACTTTTGCCTCGAAATTAGATATCCCACAGCGCCGTAGGGAGAACACGAGTAGTTCAAACTAACTTCTCTTGAAATGAGCGTGAATTATTTTCTAACAAAATTCAGCCATAAAATATTTTACAATGATAATATCCCATATTTATAGCAGCAAACTTTTTTCATGGCTTACATCTATGTGCACTATCCTGGCTAAATTTTCAAACCATTCCTCCAAAAATGATATGCTATAGAGGGACATTTAGAAGCGCTCTAGGAAATCGCTGAGAACCCACAACGAATCGTCCTTAATGCGTTGTGCGAACACCTCTGACCCCGTACTGCCTTAACATTCGCTAGTGTAATGTACGTGAGCTGTCAGTTGAGCATTTACCCAGCCGTGTTATTCCTGTGACGAAATGTCACGTATCAGACATTCTGAGGTACGTTATCTGTGCGGAAACTTGTTCCGTAAGAAAGTAAGAATAATAATAACCATTCACAGAAAAGTAAATAAATCGATACAGACTTTGTTTCACTAATACGGCAAGGCAAGTCCACATAAGAGCCAATAATGGAGTTCACAGAATCGGAGACTAGTAAACGAGGTACCACTGCATAGGATGTTGTGAGTACAGACACAACTGGACAGATTTTCTTCGAGGATATAATTAATTCCGAAAGGCAGTACGTGGAACAGATACTCCGCCTATTTTCCGAGGAGGTAACAGACGAAGGTCGGTATGCATTCTTCCAACAAGGGCATCCACGGACGCTTGAAGGGAAGTATTGGGGGACAGAACCGTTAATACTGGTTTGAGGCCAAATCTACATTTGAAGTATTTTGGGATGTAATTCCGTGCAGTCTGGTAGAAGATGCCGACGTTTCGGATGAACTTAAAGCCTCTATCAGGGTCAAAAGATAAGCAGAGTGTACCGACGTTTCTCTCGCTCTATTTTTTGCTTCCTTGTTTGCATGCTAGGCTTACTCTTCGACCCTGCAGACGGAGGCAATACGTTCCTCCGAAACGCTGATAAACAGTCTACCAGATTACAGGGCGTCTCACCCCAGAAGATTTTCAGTCACCACAATGAGGCTCTCAAATCTCACGTAAGGTAAACAAGTAAAGCCATCCCTGTGAGAGGCCGTGGAGGTCTAGAGGGTTGTGAGACGTCGAGGCTCCCACATTTTCTAGACAATCGGCTCGCAGATGGCGGTGAGGTCGTCAGTCTTAAGCTCTGGCCGCCCTTTACCTGCAGGAAGATTCATGGTATTCATTTCTGTTAGAGGCTGAGCCGGCCCAAGGGCCGTAGTGCGGCTGGAAGGATTAAGTCAATTGAAAAAATCCACCTCATCGGGAATCGAACTTGTGACGTTCGGGCTTGTAGCATATTGCCTCAAACAACTACGCTACTGCGTGACCCCGCCCTAAAATCTCACGTGCAACATATATTTATGTGGAACCGGAAGGCAAAGTATTTGTAGCATACAAAATCCTCACACAAGTGAAAGGCTGAAAGAAATATCAGAAGTTGCTAAGACTGCGTGCAGGACGACGGAGAGCATCTCCGTCATCTAGTGTACGTGGCTTGTACGTACTTATAATTAGGCTGGAGGTTTCTCGGTTCCACTAGCAGCCCGAATTTTGGTGGGCCCTCGCTTGAGGTGAGGAACGTCCAGTTCTTCAGCTTGAGCCTCTCAACGATCTACGTGAACACTAGATTCCCATTGTGTATGTGTTTCTCATGCCGGTCACGGTAGCCGAGCGGTCTAAGGCATGCACTGTCTTCGCTCGCTCGGAAGCCGGGATCGTGGGTTCGAATCCCACCAAAGGCATGGATGTTTGTTGTGCGTTTTTCTGTGTTTGTCTACAGGTAGAGGCCTTGCGACGAGCTGATCACTCGCCCAAGGAGTCCTACCGTATGTGTAAGATCTAGTAAACCGAAGTGAAACGGAGAGTTTCATGGAGGTAGGCCTAGGCCCAAATTGGGGCTGTAGCGCCAAAGAAAAAAACAATTCTTGACTTAGGCACTGGTTGGAGGTGAGTGGTCAACAGGTACCCAATGGAGAGCAGGCCGGGTGGGTCCCAGAACTGGTTTGGACGACGTGAAGAGGAGAAAAATCCTACTCTTACCGGGATTCGAACTCCGACCCCTTGGCCGTCCAGCCCGTAGCCAGTCGCTATACCGACTGCGCTATCCTGTCTCATAAGACGACGACTAAGAACTGCTATGTCAAATAATGCTGGGGCACGCGGTAGCGTAGTTGGTTGAGGCACTATGCTACAAGCCCGAAGGTCGCGGTTTCGATTCCCGATGAGGTCATTGGATTTTTCAATTGACTTAGATCTTCCAGCCGCAATACGGCCCTGGGTTCGACTCAGCATCTAACATAAATCAGTACCAGGAATCTTCCTGGGGATAAACGGAGGTCGGCGCGTAAGGCTGAGAACCTTACCGCCATCTGTGAGCCAACTGTCTAGAAAATGTTTAGAAGCCTTGACGTCTCACAAACCTATGGACCTGCACGGCCGGTTACAGGGCTATTGAGTTATTCAGTATAGAGGGGGTGAGTTCTCCCATGCACCGCGACTGATAGTCTATTGTACGTCCCTCTTTAATTTCTACTATCGCCATACCCTACCGATACTGGTGTCCGCTACCTCCCCTTTCTGCCAGCGAGGTCGGCCCTCTACTAGCATTGGTACCCGATAACTTCCCCATCTACCGGAGGCATTGGAACCTACTTGGGCGGGAAACATTTTGCCTAATTTTGCTCAGAGGTATCCTAGAGACATGAGGATCTTTTACGTGCCGTAAATCTACGACACGGGACCCACGGCTTAAAGACCCTCCCGGAGGAGGAGCGTGTCTATAGAAAATGTAACAGAGTAAAAGGTGCTAAATTAGGAGTCAGAAAATAAGGGAAAATTTAGACGTTAAACCATTAAAAGAAACAACAGAAACTTCACAGCTCGGAATATTTCCAACTTAAATCAAATGAAAGAAACTCTGAGGAAGTCTGACAGAATATCTAGTGGGAGGGACAGAACAGACTTGAGGAAAGGGCATACACAACATGTCATGCTGAGAATTAGTAAGCTTAAATGCGCCTTTCTTACTGTAACAACTGAGGAACCAATGACGTGAAGTTTATATCAGTGAAACAGTTTTACACTTACCGATCCAATAAGTTTCCATTTTTTGTTGAAGCACAGGTACCTTCGCGATTCCTCTGCGTATACTGTCAATTTGACACTGAAGTCCAGAGACTTTATGGTGAGATTTTCTGTAAAAAAGAAAACTTATATAAATTGTACATCGAGGGAATTCGCATTACTTGTAACACGTGGCTAATTATGGTACGTTTTCAAAAAAACACAAACCACTCAAATGTACGTCTAATTTCATATAAATCTACGTTATTAATCACTCACTCACGAAGCTGAGCCCTTCTTGAGAAACTGCCAATTGTGCAGCTACTCAATAACGTCCCAGCATTTTATGGAACACTAAGGTTCATTACTATCTTCACAAGAGCCCTCCAGCGGTCCCTATCCTGAGCCAGATCAATCCAATCTATACCATCCCATCCTCTCTCTCTGAGATCCATTTCAATATTGTCCACCCAACTACGTCTTGGTCTTCCCAGTGGTCTCCTTCCTTCCGGCTTTCCCACCAATATCCTATATACATTTTTCCTTGCCCGCCATTCGTGCTACATGCCATGCCCACCTCACCCCCCTTGACTTGGAGAAGAGTACAAGTTATGAAGCTCCTCAGTATGTAGTTTTCTCCACTTCATCTCTCTTCGGCTACGTTATTAATATTGAAACAAAATAAAATCACTGATCTCTCTTATGCATAAGTTGCCCTGCTCATTTAAGTGACAGCGGTTTGTATCAAGTGTTCACACATTTCAAGTAGAAAGGTGTACACATGGAACTGAATGGAGCAGCACAAATTGAGGAAACGGAACGCAACTCGCGGAGACTGATAAACTCAACTCCCAGGCAGCTTGGCAAGCCGGTCTTCTCTCAGTTGCGTTGCTGCTTAGTTTCCTAGTGTCAGCTGTTCTAACATACTTCTGTGATCCAGTTGCTTCTTTAGATGACACGAAAGGTTGATGAAGCTGCTGATTTTGTCCTTGTGTCTTTAACTGAGTAGGAGCCTGGTACAGCTGACAAATGCCAGGCAACCTGTGCTAGGTGCGATAAAATATATTCGGTTTGGGAAAGAATTTCTCATGAGATGGAGTCTGGATCCAAGTTCTTTCGAAACAATATAAGCATCTGAGTTTAAATTATCACGGTTTCCTTTTCTTAATCTTGCATTTACTCATCCTGTTGCATTAATATATAACTTATTTCACATATACGTCCGTCTTAAATGCAACGTTATTACATAGTCGCCCTTCTTCCACACCACATGGAAAGGCCGTATACGGCCATCATCAAGTGCCTTTCTATCGTGCTAACATTGTTGCACTGTATGTCAAAATTTCTTATCGCGTATGAAAGCAGTACTTCATGATTAACATAAACTTACCTTAATTAAAATTAATTAAAATAACTAACATCCCAATATTCAGTGTGTGCCTGCTAATCTGGTAACAAGTTGCCTACTTGAAATCGGTGACGTTTCTCAGAAATTGCGGTTGCGTTGCAGTTGGCAGTTTCTTTGTTATGCCCTTATCATTACAGTTTTCACGTAACAGTTTCCACCCCTATACACATGCGAATTGGTTGCTTAGAGAGTGGAATAGTTATATTTCGTAGGGTATATCTATTTCCCCAAGTTCCGTTAAATACACAACGCATTAACACTAACTCCACGGAGCACAATCCACTTTGAAAACCTAACAGTTGCTGAGCAAGTCGAGACATCCCATGCCTTTCTGGAGCCAAGACTTTCATTGTACTGTTCTCGAAAATCCAATTACAGGAAATTATTCTGAGCTAGATGAACCCAGTCCGCGTCCAATTTCGCGAAGACAATGCCAATCTTCTTCGACGCCAAGTTCTTCAAAGCCGTCTCTCCTCTTCAGTTTCCCAGCCAAAATTCTGTATACATATATAATTTCTTTCATATGTGTGCTACTTGTATAAGGTTAAAATACAATTATTATATGAAATGTACTTGTATATACGATTATAGGTCACAGTAGCCGCTCGGCTTAAGACATGAATTGTCTTCGCTCTCTCGGACGCTGGGATTGTGTGTTCGAATCCCACTCAAGTCATGGATGTTTGTGTTTATTCTGTGTTTGTGTTGACCTGTGTTTAGGTAGCGGCCTTCCAACGGAATGATCGCTCGTCCAAGAAGTCCTACCGTCTGTGAAAAATGATTACGGAACGAAATAAGAGGCCAGGGCTCTGAGTGGGCAGCAAGAGCCATCCAAAAGATACGATTATAATGCATAAAGCGACCGTTCACTCTGCGATTCGCTTAAATTGTAGGCCGATATGCACGAAAACTAAATTTGCCCTACAACTTTCACAGCAGACCCCCAACGTTCGGCCTAAATTTTGCAGAGCCTACGCAGACACAATTTATCTCGATCGAACAATTCAATGTGCGGGTCAAGCTACAGACTCGCAATATGGGGTGTCGAATATTATCGGGCCCACCAGCTATCCTGTCTTTCTTCAGTCACTCCAGTTACTCTGTAACCGCCTCCTTATAAATGTTTATCCGCACACCGTTCATGATTACCTTCTCATTTTATTCAGCATTATTTCTATCCAATGTGTACCGGGGGCTCTTCCCCGGGGATTAAACGGCCGGGGCGTGAAGCTGACCACTCACCTCCAGCTAGTGCAGAGGTCAATAAAATTTGGATCTATACGCCCACTGCTCCATACGCCTTCATTGCGTAGTGCTTAATTACTTAAGCACAGGGACAACTTTACCTTTTTTGCCTTTACGTATATATCCCAGTGGTTCCCAAAGCGGGCTGTACCGCTCCCTGAAGTGGGGGCGGTGGGATTACCTGGGGGGGGGGTGCTCTCCGAGCTCGTTGTTCGCTTATTTACAATTCAAGTGACTCTAGACCTGACACTGGGAAACTGGTATCACTTCATCAAGCCGATCCATCGCATTTTGCTAACAGTGAAGTAGTTACTAAATGCGATATCTTATTTTATTGTTATTACCTTCCTTAGTAAGGTAAACAGGTAACGTTGTCCCTGTGCCTAACTAATTAAGCACTACGCCATGAAGACGCGTGGGGGAGAGGATGTATAGATCCACGTTTTATTCACCTCGACACTGGCTGGAGGTGAGTCGTCAGCTTCACGCCCCGGTCGCTTTACCCCCGCAGAAAGAGCCCCTTTACCCATTAGATAGGAGGTTGGATGGACCCCAGAGCCGATCTGGACGACGTTGAGAAGAGAAAATTCTTGACCCTACCGGGACTCGAATTCCGATCCCTCGGTAGTCCAGCCCGCAGGCAGTCGCTATACCGACTTCTGTATCTTCGTTAGTGGGTTGTGCAAACGGCTGTTATAAACTTTTTTTTTCATACGGTAGTTTATGGGGCACTGTGGATGACTTTATGGAACCAAGGGGTACATGGCACGAAAAATAATTTGGGAACCATTGATAACCTATACAGTTGGAAAATATCGTTGAATAACCTAAGAATTTACGATATACCATATATGCATCTTACTGACTGAGAATAGGACTCATTTTCCTGCAGAAGGCCTTGATACGAATTACTGTGTTTGCAAGTGGCGCGGCAGAACACCGAGGTCGGAAAGTGTTACGTCTGAAAGCCCCCCAACCCAAGCGGGGCGGCGCACACAGCCGTTGTAATCACTGTTATTCTCCACCTCGCGCCATAGACACAAAACCAACAACTTCTTCATTCCTCATGTGATTGATTCACTGCCTCAAGACAACACACCAACCAGAATGGCTCAGGCGGTAAAGCGTCTGACTTCACTCCGGAGGATTTTCGATTCGAATCTCTGTCAGGACTCCGACTAATAAGACTGAAGGTTTCTGTGGGTTTCATCATTCCCACCAGGCGAATACTGGGATATCACCTTGAAACAGGCCACGGTAAATTATTTCTGCCTCTGTGGTCTAGTGGTCAGAGTTACAGGCTACAGATCCAGAAGTCCGCGTTCGATTCCCGGCGCTACTAGATTTTCTGAGAAGTACTTGGTCTGGAAAGGGGTCCACTCAGCCTCGTGAGGATAAGTGAGAAGCTATTTCAAGGAAATAGCGGCTCTGGTCTAGAACACCAAGATTAACAGCCGTGAGGATTCGTTGCACTGACCACGCGACACCCTCTATCCACAAAAGTTGGCACTAACTTCGCCGATAAGCGGCGGTCGCTCGGCACTTATAGTTCGCTTGCGGATTGCAGGTCGTGAAGACCCATAACGTTGTGAGACGTCGAGGCTCCCACATTTTCTAGACAATCGGCTAACAGATGGCGGTAAGCGCTGGCCGCTCTTTAGCCCCCAAGAAGATTCCTGGTACTCATTTCTGTTAGAGGCTGAGTCGACCCCAGGGCCATAATGCGGCTGCAAGGATTAGGTCAATTGAAAAAAATCCACCCCATCGGGACTAGAACCCTCGATCTTCCCGCTTGTAGCATAGTGCCTCAACCAACTACGCTACTGCGTGCCCCTCCAGGTTCTATAAAGAAAGAATAATTTATTGACCAGTTGGGCGATTAGTAATACAAAACTTTCTGGTTAGCCAAGCACTGTTCTGAAAATTAACATCTCCTTGGATATAATACCGTGTATTCCGGTAGCATTTCACGGATTTCTTGATGGAACGTACTGTCTATAGGCTGGAAGAGTAAGCCACGTAAGAAAACAAGCAGAGACTTCCCTGGCTAACGTTCTGACCATGAAGGTGGAAGCAGTACGTTCTTCTGAAAGGTCCGTGAAATCCTACACAACTACACGGCGTCACACGCCGGTAGTACAGCCTGAAAGGGCTGCAGCGTTACATTCCTCGCCTTCGCCTTGTGTTCGCATTTCCACCGCCCGCTAAACACAGCATTTGTATGTAGAGATAAAAGAGGAGGAACGTGGATATACGGTGCATGGGCGGTAGTGCTTGGACGTGCAAGAGCATACGGGACAACCCTAAGTGGCGCCCATAGTTCTAATAAACTGATAGACCCAAACACAAAAACATGGCCCGGCCATTCTCTCACCCTATTACTCTTACATCTCGATTCTGAGGGCAAAAATGACTTCAGTGTTCTAGATAAACATCGTCGAAGAAATTGCGATGGTAAGTGTTCTTATTCTTAACTTT